CGTGCTCTATCGCAACTCCATTTGGACGCGTGATTTTGGTCAAGGATCATTCACGCCCCTCACACGTGCTCCGGCATTTAGAGCCCGACCCCATTTCAATATGGTGGGTTTGGGAGGGGGGGGGGGGTCTGTTTCAGGCTGAAAATTCATTAAGGCTGATTGATCAGGGTACACGAAACAAGAACATAATAAAAACCAGGCCCACCAAAACGGGAACCCCTTAAAATCAAGGCAACGGAAATTTAAAACCTGAAAAACCAGGCCGACCCTTGGAAAACACCCTGATATGTACAGGATTCCAGTCTCACAGTAGCGAGTTAGATAAGAAAGTACAGTACAAAATGGTTTTACCTACGGAGTTGTACTCTCTAAAGGCATACACCTAACTAGCCTATAATAACATATTGCATATATGTTTGACACACCCCCTAGGCTAGACAAGGGGTAGTGCGGGACAAGAGACACCGGTGGCGACTCCTGCGGCTGCGGCTCCACGTCGACACCAGAACCTCCAGCTGCACTACGTCTACAGCCGAGAAGTTCCACGCCACCCTCTCCGACACCGGTGCCACCCCGAGGACCCGTGGACCCCAGCAGCGGCTGCTGTTGCGGCGGCGACTGCGGCGGTGGAGACTGCAGCAGCTGCTGCTATGGCAACGGCGGCTGCTACGGCGTCAGCAGAGGAGAAGACAAGAGCTGAGCCGCGGGGCCACCAGAGTCAGACGACTCCTCGAGCGGGACAACCGACGGGAGGGGAGAGACGTGAGACAACACATGGGGCAGGACGGGGGGGGGGAGGAACAGGGGCTACCGGGGGAGTGGGAACCAGAAATAGAGGCAGGGAAACCAGGAGACGTGTGTGGGAAAAGCGGTGGTAGAAGGAGATAGACCCGTCAAAGGTGACGTCTTGCAAGTGAAACAAGCGATGGGACGACGGATGGTAAGCTTGTGCCAGTCAGACGAGTGCAGGGGGAAGCCAAGGAAGACACAGGGGACTGTGCGGACGGTAAGCTTGTCTGTGCCAGAGGCACGAACGTGAGCAAGGCAGCCCCACACGTGGAACGCAGACGCGTCACCAAGGAACCTGGTCCAGAGAAGAGTCGGCGAAACTTGTGGCTGCTGAGAGTGCGGCCATAGGTTAAGCTTGTGAGCAACGTAGTGAACAGCGAACGACCACGGAAAATGGGGTGCACTAGCATGGATCATGGAGGTATGAGCCACATCCATGACCAAACCGATGCGTCTCTCAGCGACCCCATTCTGCTACGGAGAGTCCGGCAGGGTGTACGAGTGGGTGATGCTCTCTACACGACAGAACTGGCCCAGCCGACCAGGGGCAAACTTGCCACCACGGTCGGAGTGGAGATACAGCACGGGGAGACTACGGTGGACGCGCGCAGCTACGACCCACGGGATAAGAACGTCAGGCACATTGGCATTCTGCTCCAGAGGAAACACCGTGATGTAGCGCGTATAGTCGTCGACAAGCACTAGAAAGTAGCGCTCTCGACGTGGCCCGGGGGCGGGGTCGGGGCCCCAGACGTCCAGGTGCAGGGTCTGGAGTGGCGCAATGGCAGGGCGAAGCGAGGAGGAGTATGGAGCATGGCGCAGCTGGCCCTCGACACAAGGCATGCACGGCGGCGCATGTGAGGGAGGGAGGGCAGGGAGCGACGAAGGGAGACCTAGGACAAGACCGTGCTGGGACATGTGACGCAGATGAGGAAGTGCGGGGTGACCTAGACGGTGGTGCCACAGAAGCGACGGGTGAGTGAGCAACCGACACGAGCAGGCCGCAGCGACATGAGTAGACGCAGGCCCCTGGGGGGCCGCCCTCAGCAAGGGGACTCGGTGTCGAGGGTAAATAGGCCAGACCGAGGGTCCCGCAGGAACGTGGTGGGGGGGGTACCTGTAGCGGCATCGGTACAGACTGTGTACCGCTCGTGTCCATGGAACATAGTGGTGACGCCGAGGTCCTGAAGACAGTCGAGACCAACTAGGTTCCTGGAGAAAGAGGGGATGTGCAGGCCCGTAAGGGAGCCCGAAGGAATCGCCAGACAGGGAAGGGTTGTGGAGCTACGAGCAATTACCGGACCGGAGGAGGGGTCAGCAAGCGCGACAGTAGCAGGGGCGGCATGCGGTGTCAGCGCAGTGTGGTCGCGGAAGAAGTAGGCAGACGCGTCAAAGTCAAGTGTGAAGGAGAGCAAAGCGGAAGCTGCAGCTGGTAGAGGAGAGAGCGTGGAGCCTAGGCTAAACAAAGCAGAAGGTCCTACGCCTGACGCAGCAGGGGAGTCTAGACTACACTCAAGTGGCACACCTAAACTAGGCAACACAGGGTAATAAGGTCCAGTCACACTAGAGGCATTAGCATACAGCGAATGCAAAGCAAAACAAATCTTATCCATGTCTAACTCAAAAAGAGACACACCACGGCGCACAAGACTGAACCAGTCGGGGAGGTCCGACGTCGGGTCGAAGCGGCAGCGAAAGAGGTCGTCGAGCCGGCAGAAGCAGCGGGTGGTAGGGTGCGGGCGACCACACACTGGGCCATGAAGGGGGCTGGTCTGGAGCTGGTATTGGCACCCCCCAGCGCTAGAGCTGCCGCTCGACGCCGAGCTGCGAGGGCCGCCACCATGGCCACCACCCCCAGAGGCACCAGGCCACTCCGGCGGGAGGCGGCCCCATGAATGCTGCTGCTGCTGCTCCGACTTCTACACAGACTACTGCTGCTGCGGCTGTTGCTGTTGGTGCTGCTCCGAGGCACCAGCCCCGGTCCCCTCGTCGGAACCGCTGTCCCCGCCTCCACCTCCACCACCCCCACCACCCCCACCACCCTGACCTCCACCATGCCCCCCCTTGGGGCGGCGGCCCCTATGCTAACGCGGCTGCGCGAAGCAGCGGTCTCAGCAGCTGGGGCTGTCTCAGCGATAGTGGCAGAACCGTCAGCGTAAGTGCACTGGGAGGGTGCATAACCCTGAAATATAGGGAATGCCACAGTACTACTTGATTGAGCGATAGTACGCTGGCGAGTCTCTATCTCGGACAAGGCAGCGACAAAGGCGGTAAGGGTGAGGTCACCGGGGTGCTGACTAAGGAAGTGGTCGTGGGCAGTGGCTATGAGGTAAAGGGTAGCGCACAGCGGCGGCGGGAAGGCAGTGAGCTGGGCCTCAGTGCTAGCAGCGCGGTAGCTAGCGTCGAGTGCGTGGAGGTGAGTGGCTACGTTAGCGACAGGAGGGAAGGACGCTAGGCTAGGGAAAAACATAGGGAGGATCAGGCGGCCAGCGGAGGCGGAGGCGGGCTTGGAGTAGCGATCAACAATTGCCTCTAAGAACGCTTGAGCGTTCGCTACAGCGGTAAAGTGGGGACGCTCAGACATGGGGAGGGCATGACTAATGGCAAGCTGTGCTACGGCGTCGCGCGAATCCCAGACAGCGCGAGCAAGTGCAGCAGTGGTAAAGGCATCACGCTCAGCAGTGGTGAGGGCGTCAGTGAGAGCAACAGGCACGGGGGGGTGGGGAAGCAAGCCATTGTCATGAACAGCCAGGCAGTGGCCATCCTGGTGCTGACCTGTCAAGTATTGGCGAAGGTAGACAAGCCAGGCGTTGAAGTCAATCGCGCGCCCCTCCGCGTCCAGGCGCAGCACAGCGTCCGCCATCGCACGACCTCAACGACACGCTGCACGGCGACACGGCGGCACGTCGGCACGGCTAGACTACGGCGCGGCTCCACGGCGCCACGGCGCCACGGCTACACTGCGGCGCAGCTCCACGGCTTCACGGCGGCATTGCGGCACGGCTATACGGCGGCGCAGCGGCACGGCGGCGGCGCGGCGGGGGCGGGAGGACGGAAGCCCGGTGGCGGTACGGCGGCGGCATGGCAATGGCACGACGGCTGCATGGCGGCGGCACGGCAGCTGCACGGCGGCTGCACGGCGACGGCACCGTGGCGGCACGACGGCTTCACGGCGGCGGCACGGCGACGTCACAGCGGCAGCACGGCGGCAGCACGGCGACGTCACGGTGACGGCGCGGCGATGGCACGGCGACCGCACGGTGGTACGGCGGCGACGCAGCACGCTGGGAACGGCAGGAACAAGAGCCGGCTCGAACGGGGCCAGCGGGGCGCAAGGGACCAGCAGGGCGCTATGGGGCCAGCTGGGCAGGAATGGGGCCAGCAATGTGCACATGCCAGCAATGCGCACGGGGCCAGGAAGGTGCACGGGGCCAGCAAGGGCGAACGGGGGCCAGCGGGACACGACGAAACCTGTGAGGCTAGGGCGTACGGGGCGTACGGGGCGCAGGAGGCGAGCGAGGCGCACAGGGCTGGCAGGGCGCGACGGGGCTAGCGGGGCGTACGGGGGCCAGAGGACGCTAACGGACCAGCGGGGCGCTTAGGGGCCAGCGGGACGAACGGCGCCAGGGGGGCGCTAATGGGCCAGCAGGGCGCGTAGGGGCTAGCGGGGCCAGCGGGGCGCTAAGGGACTAGCAGGGCACTAAGGGAAGGGCGAGGGCGGAAGAGGGTGGGAGGACAGAACCTATGCGATACCATTTCAGAGTAGCCAGATAGATAAGAAAGTACAGTACATAGTGGTTTTACCTTAGGGGGTTGTACACTCTAAAGGCATACACCTAACTAGCCTATAATAACATATTGCATATACCATTCAGGCCTTTTTGGTCTGACTTCTGAGGCCCTGGTGGTTAGTGATTGAGTTGTCATATTATCTGAGCGTGGGTAACTCGAGTTCAATTCCCAGTGCCAGCGCTGCAGAGGCGCTCATTTCCTCTGCCTATCCCAGCGAGGGGGGGTGTCGAGAGATCCGCTGGGGTTGCCCTTGAGAATATCCTTGGGGAAGGGCCACAGCCTGTGGAAGGCCTGTGGCCCACAGGCCTCTATGCCTGGGGGGTTCTGGGCGCACTGATTCGCTACTTAACAAGCCCTTTCTAAGCCCGCTACTCAGTGGTTAGTTACTGAGTTGTGTCAATTTGATCTGAACAAGGTGGCAGGGTGGACCGCATTTGTTATGAGATACAATCACATGTTTGTGACGCACTTAGACAGCGTAACACCTCATAGTGATGACCCCTTGATGCCTGATAAACCCCACTAGTTGCTGTAGCAGGAACGAGTAGCGCACCCATCCTTCTCGGAACACAACTGATCAGCAAATCAAACGTTTCTTCAGCCTCCCATCCCAACCCAAGCCCACCACCAGACCCAGACCCTGTTGGTTGCTTTACCTGCATAGAAAAAAACTCCTCACCAAATCCCCCAATCAGCTTGTCATGGCTGCTCCCCACTAAACCCTGCTCCTAACTAGGAGCCGCCTCACATCTCTCCTTTGTAAACAACCCAATCCGCTCCTGCCAAATTAGCCTGTTATGGCTGCTCTGCAAATTAGACGCTCATATTTAGCCCCCTGGCGACAAAGCCCAAGCCCCCCACCAGACCCAGCTCCAAATCCTGAGCGGCCTCACAACTCTGCATTGTAGACCACCCAATGCGTTTTTATGACTTCTCAACATCTCGCCCAATCAGCTTGTCATGGCTGCTCTGCAGATTGAACATTATTCTTCAGCCCCCCCCTCAGCCTTCCCATGCCCCCACCAAACCCTGCTCCAGATTATGAGCTGCCTCACAACTCTCCTTGGTAGATCACTCAATCCTCTCCTACGACTTCTCGCAAGATCGCCCAGTCCGCTCCTACGACACCTCAGCATCCCACCCAATCTGCTTGTAATGGCTTCTCTGCAGGTTGAACGTCTTCTTCAACCCTCCCACCAGCCTTCCCAGGCCTCCACCGAACCCTGCTTCAAACTCTGAGCCATGTCAAGTACACTCTCTGCATCGAGTCACCCGATCAACTTATCATGGCTGCTCTGCAGGTTGAACCATCCGTCTTCTTCAGCCCCCGTGCCAGCCTTCCCAGGTATCCACACCACCGAACGCTGCTCCAAACTCTGGGCCATGTCAAGGACACTCTCTGCATCGAGTCACCCGATCAGCTTATCATGGCTGCTCTGCAGGTTAAACGTCTTCTTTATCCCCCTAGCCAGCCGCCCCAGCCCCCCACCAAACCCCGCCCCGATCGCCCCGCCAGCTGGCCTGCCCCCATTGGGCACGGAGGTGTTGCGCGCGAACAGCCGACCTGCAGCCTGGGCGGGCATGCCCACATACGCGCGGTCTATGAGCCTCGAGCCCTGCATGCCGAACCCGACGCCCGCCCCTGCAGTGGAGAAGGAGCGGGCGTGGTCCAGCGCCGGCTGGCTCTGCCTGTTTCTCGGGGCAGTCGCACCCGGTGCTCCTGCTCCTCCTGCTGCTCCTCCTGCAGCTGCTGCTGCCCCTCCGCCTGCCCCCCCGCCTCCTGTCCCACCACCACCACCAGCAGCGCCGCCGCCAGAACCATCACCCGCACCCGCTTTCCCTTCCTTCACAGCAGCAGCGGCAGCAGCCACTGCCTGCGCCTTAGCTGGACCCACCAGCACGCCTACAGACGCCAGCTGAGACGCGATCTCCTCCTCCCAGGTCAGCCCGGAGGGCGCCAGCATGCCCACCTGCCCGCGGATCTTCTCCCCCTCCCACGTCCCCCCCCCGTCCTTCCCCCCTGATCGGCCCACTTGCACGGACCAAGCGGCTCTGGCTCGAGCCATCAACCCACTCTGGGCCGGTGCCCCCTCCCCCCCTCCCCCTCCCCCACCATCTGCATCATCTGGAGAGACCTTTGCACCCGACATAGCAGGACTTTTTCTGCCTGATTGTTGCCCCGATGGCACCCGGTTGTTACTCCCACTGTTGCCGCCGCCGCCGCCGCCGCCAGAACCAGCAGTGGGGCCAGCAGCGAAGGCAGGCATCTGCCGGGGATGCGGGCTGGTGAAGATCATCGGGGCGGCAACCGCCTGCACAATCTTCTTTGGGATGTTGAAAACGAAGTCCTCACCATCGTCATCATCCCCCCCACCGCTCCCGGCCCCTGGCTTGCGGATGGTGAACACAAAGTCGTCGTCGTTCTCATCGATTTCCTCCAGAGCGCTTTTGAGCCGGGCAGTCCCGCTCCCTTCGGCCGCTTGTACGAAGTCGGGCGCTTGGTCTTCCTTAGTCAGGAATTTCTTGGGAGCCCCCGGGTGGAGGATTAGGATGAGCCGGGCCGGTACCACCCCGCGGGAATTCACAATCCATGATTTCATGGTTTTTTCGAGGGTTTCGCGGGCGGGTTCGGGCAGGTCGGAAGGTTTTTCGGGGGGAGATGGGGTGGAGGAGGAGGAGAGGAAAAGGTCCCGGAGGGCGGTGAGTTTGCTGCGAGCTTCTTTGCGTGTGAAGCACTCGTATGCTGCTATGGAGAATATATACCCTAGGTGCATGTGGAAGAGGAAGATCACTTGGTCAAAGCCCTGCAGGAAAAATGGGGGAGGCGGATGGGGGGGGGAGGAAAGGGGCGGAGGGAGTGCAGCATGAGGTGGTGTAAGGCACTCATATGCTAATATGGACTAGACGAATCCTTGGTGGATTTGAAGAGGAAGATCACTTGGTCAAAGCCCTGCAGGGAAAATGGGGGAGGCGGAAGGGGGGAGGGGGCGGGGGGGGGGAAGGGGCGGAGGGAGTGAAGCAAGAGGCGTGTGAATCACTCGTATGCTGGAATGGAGTAGACGAAAACTTGGTGGACGTGGAAGAGGAAGATCACCTGGTCAAAGCCCTATGATCAGAGAGGGGGAAAGGGGAGGGAGATTGAAATGAGGCACTAGTATGCTGGATTGGAGTAGACGAACCCTTGGTGGACGTGGAAGAGGAAGATCACTAGATCAAAGCCCTGCAGGAAAGCGGGGCAGGCAGATGGGTGGGGGGAGGGTGATGGGTGGGGGGAGGAGGATGGGGTGGGGTGGGGGAGGGGGATTGCAGCAAGAAGTGTGTGAGGCACTCGTACTGCTACTACGGAGTACAGAGAAGACGAACCCTTGGCGGTGGATGTGGAAGAGGAAAACTACTTGGTCAAACCCCAGCAGACTTGGAGAGGATGGCAAATGGAAGAGGTGGAGCACTATGTTGGAATATACGGTCTGTACGCTTTGCGTATTGGGAAGGGAAGAGGCAATGAGCGTTCAGCATGTGAAGCACGTGTGCACTCGTACGTGGAGTAGACGAACGAACCCTTGGCGGTGGGTGTGGAAGAGGAAACCTACTTGGTCAAAGCCCGGGAGTAGTGGAGAAGGGGATGCGGGACAGGGGGGTAACATCGTGGCCATTCTACAGAAGGGGGGGTTTGGCGGTTTGCAGCTTCACAAGACTTCAAGAGTCACAGCGAGCTGGTTTTAGGGTAAAAGCCTAGACAGAATAGACAGAATAGCTTAACAATTCGCTTGTGGGCTCTCGACAGTCTTCTATCTGTGAAGGTAGGACAGTGTGTGGAGGTGGGACAGTGTGTGGAGGTGGGACAGTGTGTGGAGGTGGGACAGTGTGTGGAGGTGGGACAGTGTGTGGAGGTGGGACAGAGTGTGAAGGTAGACATTGACATCTTTGAGTCGCCTCAAAAATAGACTCCGCACAGTGTGTGAAGGTAGACATTGACATCATACGAAGGTCATGACGAGGGGAGGAGTGAGGAGGGGAAACGGAGAGGAGGACACAAAGATAGGGGAAAAACTAAAGAGCAGGCGGCTTGCAAAATGACTAGCAAGGCACAAAATGAAGGGCGAGTGGACATACCCACGAGAACCATTGCATGTTGGGAGGAACCTTCTTCAGCGTTTCGCGAAGCAGCTCGCTGAATTCGCCGAACGGGCTGTAGGCGAGTAACAACTCAGTCCCGTGCGAAATTCCCATCCCCATTATAAGATCCGCTACCTTCGCCATGCTGCTTCCCGTTATAAGCCCGCAAATTTTCCACTATAACGGAACCTCGCACTGCTTCTAGCGGGTATATGCGCTTGACAGGAGGTAAGAAGATCAGCAGGGTTACAGCCACGGGTCGCTTCCTGCCATAGTCTGCACAATTCTACGCACCAATTATTAACTCAGGGACCAAATCTAATGAACTTCGGAAAATCTGCGATTTAGTCTGCGACCACTGGAACGTGATAAATTAGCCCTGAGATTACAGGAATGAGTGGAGATTAATCGAAACCGTCCATCTCGCGACATCGGAGGACTCAGCAGATGCAACACGGAAACAGAAGGATTCCTGTTTTACTCCCGTAATCCTTGGGGTAAAACCAACTAACACCTCGTCTAATGACAAACGGTCGACCACTTCCCTACCACGAACAAGCGGAGACCACTGATAGAGCTAATGCCTCTGGAAGAAAAAAAGCGTTGGCTTGCCAAAGACATCAGCAATTTAGGCGTCGTTCCTCCCTAACAGCGTGTTAACAAGCAGGTCGAGCAGCAGCTGCTGTAGAGGCGCGGCGCTTGTGTCCAGGGAGAAAGGATCACAAATGGTATCTGTTCTCGCCAATACGAGCCTCGATCACTCGAAACGAGCGAAAGCTTTCGGGGATTTAGCCGCAGTAGCGAACGGAAATCATGTTCCCGGGCCAACGCATTCGCGACGCCGATTGCTATGAGCGGCATATGCGTCACGAGACGGGACGGGACGAGTCGAGATTAGCGGGTATGAAAGAGGTGACGGAGGTAGGTGAAATTCTGACACTACGTCACTCCTCCCACCCAGGGCGTGAGTGGGCGAGAAGTTGGGGTGGGGGGTGTGAACTGTACAACACACAACACAGGCAGGAATTCCCTTTCTACGTTGGGTTGATGGATTGCACATGGGCAGAAGGATAGCGCCTTGCTTCGGGATTCCCTCTTCCTGTTTCGGCTTTGTTGCGACTTAGCTTCGGGATTGCCTTACCTCCATACCTTCGTTGGTCAGCTGGTATGTTCGGGTATAGAACGATTTAGAAGGGTAACTGGTCTCGAACCTTGCTTGCCGAACCTGAAATGTGCACTGTATGTACCACGCCCCACATTTGAACCGGACCAGGGCCAGCCTTCACATGTGTGCATGTGTGGTTGAGGACAAGGCAGGATTGAACCCAGAGAAGTCAAACCAGGTGGTTTTGGGGGCACAAGGGTATAGGTTATGAAACAATTAACTTTTTGGGCAGAATCTCGTTCCCGTAAAAACATGACTGTCCAGTATACATTGATTTGGATCCCATGCACAGTGCGGGAAAGCGGCGTACTCAGAAAACACCCCCGAACCCCCGAGGTGACTTCTAGCACAGTACCCATCATTTTCGAGGAGATACTGCTTCAAACGACAATTCTTCCCCGCACAATCTGCCCGCATGGTGGACATATGGCCATCCGTTCAGGCGCCCCGCACACACCCATTTCGGCAACAGCCGCTGCCAACAAACTGGGAATCCTCGATACAAGATCGCTGGCGAAGTATGCACGTAACCAGTTGGAGAAGTTAATACAAAAGTATTGTTGATAAGACGGCGTGAAATGCAATGTCTATTACGGTATGGTGTGGTCAAGTCAAGCATGAACTATTTTTTGGGTTGCGTAGCAACCCTTTATAATCGGTCGGTGGACCGATTGTGGTGGACAGATATTGCATTACATATTATTCTATTCTAAATCTTATCAAGATAATAACCCATATCATTTTTGGTTTCTAAAATTTATCGAGATAATAACTCATATCGTTTGTTTGTTTTTTTTTCTAAATCTTATCGAGATAATAACCCATATCATTTTTTTAGGGTCTAATGCATCCTTTACTCTAAAGATTTGTATTATATTATATTATATTATATTATATTATTACAAGAGGCATTTATATTTATTAGTATTAGTATTATTTATTGCCACATACGTATATCAAACCTAGAATTGAATAATGTAAGGGAGAGAGAGTACACAAACATATACCTAAATGTTGTACTCTCTAGAAGGTGACCCTATACAGTCTATACAAACATGATAACTATACATGTTTGACACACCCCCTGGACTGCATAGGGGAATGTTCTAGACAAGCAGCTCAGGGTGGCACTACTAGTCCAGCCTCTGAGACAAGGGTCTAAAAGACCAGTCAGAAGGAGTACAGACAAGGCAAGAACGAGTACAGGGCGGCACTACTAGTCCAACCACTGTGAGAGGACACAAGTCCAGTCTGAGAGTATACATATATATATATAGACGACAGTACAAAGTCAAGGCCCGAGTAAGTGAGAGACTACAGGAACCAGACCAAGCTGTAAACAGTGCCGCTGATGATCTTTAGGCGCAAGCGCCTTCGTAAAGATATCAGCTGTGTTGGCACCGGAGGCCAAGTGTACTACGCGAGCCTGGCGACGCTGCTGTAGCTCGCACAGGAGGAAGTACCGCAGCTGGATGTGCTTCGCTCTGCCCTCGAGTCGAGGCTCCTGACACAGGAGAATCATGGCCCTGTTGTCAGCGTACAGGACCGGGGCAGAGCTAGGCCGCTCACCTAAGTCAGTGAGCAAGAAGGTCAGCCAGCGGAGCTCCTGTGCCGCCATGGCACCGGCGTAGATCTCAGCCTCACAGCTGGACTGGGCAACAGACGAGGAGCGGGTAGCTCTCCACGAGACAGCACCTGAGCCAAGGCTAAAGCAGTAGCCCTGGGAAGACCTGAGCGTCTCGGCGTCGTCCCAAGAAGCGTCTGTGTGTCCAGTAAGGACCACTGGCCTGCGTCCGCCTAGCACTAACCCCATGCCCGATGTACTTGCAAGATAACGCAAAACCCTCTTAGCGGCAGACCAGTGCTGAGGTCGGTGTCTGCCTGTGGCTACAAAACGAGCCAGGATGCTGAGAGGGTATGCGAGATCTGGGCGAGTGCAAGTCATCAGGTACATGAGGCAACCCACTAGCTCAGCGTAAGGACCACTGGGATCTACCGACTCCTCAGGAACTGGAGCGGAGAGTCTGTGGTCCAGAGGAAGAGGGGTGGGCTGTGCGGAGGAGAACTGAAGGCCGAACCTCTGAAGGACCTGGCGCACCAAGTGTGACTGAGTCAGGGTGATGGTGCGCGCGGCTCTGTCCCTGGAGATCTGCAAGCCAAGGTAACGGCGCAGCTCTCCAAGGTCAGTGCAGGTGTGTCTCTTCAGCAGCTCTGCCTTCACGGAGGCCAGTGCGTCCCTGTCAGCTGTGGCAAAGACCAGGTCGTCTACGTAGACGAGGATGTAGAACGGAGTCGAGCCAGCACGAACGAAGAGCGAGGGGTCTGCAGAGGACGGAAAGAACTGCAGGTCAGCAAGAGTAGCACGCAGCGTGTCGTGCCACTCACGAGGCGCCTGGCGCAGGCCGTAGACTGGGCGCCGCAGAAGCCACTGGGTCCCAGGGGGGAAGGTGCCAGTAAAGCCCTGAGGACGACGCAGGTAGACCTGCTCGTGAAGGCTGCCCTGAAGAAAGGCAGTGGAGAAGTCGAGGGAGTGAAGCTCGTAGTCACGCTGAGCCGCTACGTGTAGCAGAACCCGAAGAGTAGTCATCTTCGGGGTAGGAGCGAAAGCCTGAAAGAAGTCCACCCCCTCGCGCTGACTGAAGCCTCTAGCCACGTAACGCGCCTTGAACACAGGCGGCTCTCCAGGAGGGCGCTTCACCTTGAAGAGCCAACGGCCATCGACCACGTTCACCCCAGGTGGGGGAACTGCGTCGACGAAGGTGCCGGTGGATCTCCAAGATGCCATCTCCTGCTCCATGGCAGCTATCCACTGAGAGGCCCAAGGTCCCGAAACCGCCTCAGCGTAAGTACGAGGGGTCGGGATGTCAAAAGCGTCTGGGTCACCCTCAGGGACTAGCAGCATGGAACAGAGATGGGGAGCAGCCTCGGACAGGAAAGCAAGCTCAAACTGGCGGTCCTCCAGGACGTCACTGCCGAGGGCAGGAGCACCCCCGACAGACGGAGGACAGGCAGGGTCAGAGACCAGAGCGGAGGCGTAGTCAAGGCGGCGGGTAGAGGCGAAGTCAGCGACCGCAGCGACAAGGGCGTCAAGACTCGACACTGGAACAGACGGGTCGGTAACGAGAGAGGCAAGGACCCGAGGAACAAGAGGACGAGCGGCACGAAAGTAGTCAGACAGAGGAGGAGACGCAACGACAAGAGAGGACGGAGGAGGAGACGGGAGGAGGGGAGGACGAAACGCGTGGGAGCGGAGCAACATAGGGTGAGTGCGCGGGACGGGGGAGACAGGACGAGCACGGGAGGGGCGGCGAGACCAGACGTGAGAGGGCGGCGTCGGGTCAGGAGACAGAGGAGGGGACACGGGTGGGGAACGAGGGGGAAAACGAGCCGGGGACAAGTCCGGCGGAGGGAACACGGGGCCGTAGACGGGAAGAAGGGGAGACGGCCGGGGAGGAACAGGCGCAGGGTCAGGAGACGGAAGGCCGAGCAGACGGAGGGCGGACACCGGCGGGGACTGCTGCTGCGGCGACACAACACCAACGCCAGGGCCACAAGCTGCGCGACGGCTACCTCCCGAACCCTCCACACCGGCACCCCCAGAAGGGACACCCCCAGAGCCCGAAACACCGCCAGCACCGGTACCACCCCCAGGCCCGCCGGGACAAGCCACGACAGGAGCCCCGGGACTAGTACCCACCTCAACTCCAGCACCCCCAGAGTCCACAAACAGCGGCAGCGACGACGGCGGCGGCGGCGGCGGCGGCTGCAGCGACGTCCTCGACGGCGGCGGCGGCGGAGACGACGGTTGCAGCAGCTGCGGCGACGGCGGCTGCGGAGGCGGTGGAGGAGGAGACACCGGGGGAGGGACAGACGACGAGGACTGCGCCAAAGGACTACCAGAGTCAGAAGACTCGTCGACCGGAACGACCGACGGGAGGGGGGTGACGTGAGACACACCAGAGGGGGCCGGACGGGGGGGCGGGGGGGGGGAGGGGCAGGGGCCACCAGGGAGGGAGGAACCAGGAACAGGGGGGGAGTAACCGGGGGACCACGGTGGGGAAAGCGGCGGTAGAAGGAGACGGACTCGTCAAAGGTGACGTCTCGAGAGTGAAAGAAGCGGTGAGACGGCGGGTGGTAGAAGTGCCAGTCGGACGCGTCAAGGGGGAAACCGAGGAAGACGCAGGGGAGGGTGCGGGCAGTGAGCTTGTCCGTGCCAGAGGCACGAACGTGAGCAAGGCAGCCCCAGACGTGGAACGCAGACGCGTCACCAGGGGACCCGGTCCACAGAAGGGTCGGCGAAACCTGCGGCCGCTGGGGGTGCGGCCACAGGTTAAGCTGGTGAGCGGCGTAGCGCACGGCGAACGGCCACAGAAAATGGGGTGCACCGGCGTGGATCATGGAGGTGCGAGCCACCTCCATGACCAAACCGATGCGTCGCTCAGCGACCCCATTCTGCTGCGGGGAGTCCGGCAGGGTAAACGTCTGGGTGATGCCCACCACTACCCCCACCCGCACCCCCGCCACCTCCGCCGCTCCCAACCTTGGGGCGGCGGCCCTTCCCCGAGCGGGACTGCACTGCAGCAGCAGTCTCAGCCACAGCGACAGAGCCGTCGGAGAAGGTACACTGAGCGGGGGCACAACCCTGAAAGATAGGGACCGGTACTGTACCGCTCGCCTGGGCTATGGAGCGGTGACGAGTCTCTATGGCAGTCAGGGTGTCAACAAAGTCGGTGAGGGTGAGAGCAGCAGGGTGGATGCTAAGGAACTGGTCGCGGGCGGCGGCAAGGCGGTCAGGGAGGCGGGTGGCAAGGAGGTA